CATCCGGTCATGACCCTGCACGTGGCCGCGGACAGGTCTCCTTTGGCCAACGCAAGAGCCCAGGCGCGGCCCGGAATCGCGTCGGGGCCAGGGGCTTTGCCTCTGCCCCAAGCTTTCTCCGGGCCTTGGTGAGCTCCTCTGGAGTGACCTCCAGGCCCTCGTCCCAATCCCCCTCCCCCATCTCTGGGGAAGGGATCACTGGGCCCCCTTCCGCCCTTGAAAAAAGGGCGTCCTTCGAGGGCCTGGGGGTCCAACGTTTCCGTTTGCGGTGGCGCCCAAGGACGAATCTTACCTATCGTCCTCTTGTATGGGCGCCCCCACGGATCGTCGTCCAGGGAGCTCACTAATTGCTCTCAGGCTTCTGGATTCTGGCCAAGGCTGCCGCTTGGCCTTCTTGATGGCTGTTTTGAGGACCACCCTGGCTGCAAGGTAGTCCTCTTTTGCCCTTGTGGCATCCCCGTCTCGTCGCCAGGCGCGCGTATACGCCCTCCTGGCACGGTCGGAGGCACCGCGGAGTACCGCGATGTCCTCCGACCACTACGCCGCCCGGCGCCGATGGGGGTGGGAACGGGGCATCGCGGCGTCGCATGCCGACGCCACTATCCCCGTTATCTCCCCGGCCCCTTCCAGGGGAGAGGGGGACATCTCGCTCCCGCACATGGCTTCGACCAGGTGCGGGAGCGAGAAGGTATGGGAAGCGGCGGCCTCCTTCTGCAGGGACGTTCTGTCAAAGGAGGAGGCCGCTGAGTGGGAGCGACGACTGGGAAGCCGCCGCAGAAGGCGGCGTGGTGGTCGTCGCTCCCCGGGGGGGATGGGTAGCGGGCTAGAGGTGACGTCGGTCGAGGAGGAGGAAGGACCCCTGAATAGCAGGGGTCCTTCCTCCTCCTCCACATAAGTTGGAACCGGTTCCCCCTGCGCGACGGACATGTGGGGATAGGGGGAGTGGTAACCCATTTTTGAGATGGGCCCACTCCCCCAAAAATCCCTCCTCCCTGATTAACAGGGAGGAGGAGTAAGGAGGGAGGGTGGATGTCCTCTCTCTCCTTAGATGAAACCAGAAGGTCAACCGGTTGGGCAACCGACTAGGGACCGCGCCCTGGATTCCCTCTGTGGAACAGGGCGCAGTACATTGGAGACGCGGGGCTCCGGGAGAGCCCTATGGCCAGGGGGTTGGACAGGGAATATGGGAGTAGTTCCCCTAACTCCCCTCTCACCGGTCCGACAGGTAGACATCCCGCAGGGGTTTTAGTCGGTAGGAGTCCGACATAACCCCCGACCCCCCCCCAAGGGTCGAGGTTATTCGTAATGGATTTCCCCTGCGTGACCAAAAAGAAAAGTTTCGCTCCGCGAACTTTTCACACAACCTGTAATGTTAGCTAATCAACAACAAGCCGTTTCATTCACGCGGTGATTAACGCAATAAATTTACGCTTACTACGTAAATGGATTAAATTTCTAATAACGGAAGAGGATCGGCAACAAGCACATACAATATTTGCAGTTGCTGCACAACCATTTGATGGTGCTATAGGTGCCATAGATTGCACATTTATCAATATTTTAGCCCCTCGTGAACACAAAGAGGCTTTTATTAATCATCGCGGCAATCATTCACTGAACGTACAAGCTGTAAGTACAAATGCTTATCCGATTCGTCGTGCTATGAAATTTCATTACAACAGAGGCGAACGAAGAACCTGGATAATCGGTGAGTCTTATTGGCCGTAAAAACTTTTACTCTTGACTACTTTGCTGAATGAACTAACATCCCAAACAGTACCAAGTCGACTATTAGTTGACTATATGTCGGCAGAAGAAATTTAAAGTCGACTTCAAAGTTAGACTGAATGCCGACTAATAGTCGACTAACAGCCGGCAAATGTCTTGACTATAGTCGGCTGTTAGTCAGCCAAAAGTCGACTTGGAAGTCGGCTTTATGGTAACTTGAAGTCAGCTTTAAGTCAACAATAAAACAACTTATAAATCACTTATAAATAAACTTTTAGTCAATGTTGCTTCATTAAAAGCCGACTTTTAATTGACTCGATGTAATCGAAATTGGTCAGGTATAATAAATTCAAAAGATCCAATTATATATATATTTTTTAATCGGTTTGGCCAAAATTTTCATTATACGTACATAATAAGATTATATTGTAATAAACTTTTATAATAAGAAAATAAACATGAATAAATTTTCATTATACGTAACAAAACTATATATAATATTAGGTGCGCAACTAAGTTCCCGCTGTTTTTCAAGAGATGACTCCAGTAGTAAGTGCTGGTCGATTGTGACATAACCAAAACGTCATGAACCAAGCTTAGACATATGGTAAACAAACCGCTTTGACACATTAGTGATTTTGTTTTTGCGTCATATACTTTTGGTTGTGTGAAAATGTCTTATTTTGTGCCAAATAATCGTCATTTGCGGGAAGTGTTGCTTTTCTTCTTTCATTCGAAGAAAACGGCGGCTGGAGCGCATCGAGAACTCCAAAAAGTTTACGGAGATGTTGCTTTAAGTGAAACAACGTACCGTGATTGGTTCCGTCGCTTCAAAGACGGTGATTTCGATGTTGACGACCGTTCACGTGAAGGAAGGCCAAAAACCTTCGAAGACGCTGAATTGGAGGCATTGCTCGATGAGGATCCGAATCATGAGCCAAACACAAAAAGAGCTTGCTTCAGCATTAGGAGTTACCCGCCAAGCCATTTCCAAGCGATTGCATGCGTTGGGAATGATTCAAAAACAAGGAATTTGGGTTCCTTATGATTTGAAACCAAGAGACGTTGAGCGTCGTTTTTTCGCCTGTGAACAACTGCTCCAGCGGCAAAAAAGGAAGGGTTTTCTTCATCGCATCGTTACGGGTGATGAAAAATGGATTCATTACAGCAACTCAAAGAGAACAAAATCATGGGGACTGCCCGGTCATGCTTTACGTCGTCGGCTCGGCCGAATATTCACGCTGCGAAGGTTTTGCTGTGTATTTGGTGGGACCAGGGCGGTGTTATTTATTATGAGCTGTTGAAACCGAACGAAACCATCACTGGAGAACGGTATCGAACTCAATTGATGCGATTGAGCCGAGCACTGCGCGAAAAGCGGCCACAATACGAGCAGAGGCACGAAAAAGTGATTCTATAGCATGACAACGCTCGGCCTCACGTTGCCAAACCCGTTAAACTACTTAGAAACGCTCAAATGGGAAGTCCTACCCCACCCGCCATATTCCCCAGATATTGCGCCGTCCGATTATTACTTGTTCCGTTCGATGTCACATGGTCTGGCTAATCAGCAGTTCCGCTCATATGAAGATATCTCAAAATGGCTTGATTCGTGGATAGCCTCAAAAGACGAACACTTCTACCGTGACGGTATTCGAGCTCTGCCAGAAAGATGGGAAAAAGTTGTCGCTAGCGATGGGCAATATTTTGAATGATTCATTTGTAACCATTTTTTCACAATAAAGTTGCATTTTCATCAAAAAAACAGCGCGAACTTAGTTGCGCACCTAATAAAACTATATAATAAGAAAATAAACAAAGACGAAACGGAAAAAAACTTATTTTTTTAATATTGTTCTCATTCTGTCGCTAGATCGTCGCAACTACTCTTGAATACAAGATTCGATCTCGCTGATTGTACATTAGTTTGTCTTCAAAAGAGTTGCTACACATATGATAATTGACATATAAACATTTTACGACAATAAATAAGTGTTTTAAATCAAAGTAAAAATATTGGGTAAACTTAGTAATACCAATTACTGAATCCGACAGTTTCGACTTTCTTAAAGGCAACGTTTTGTTCTGCCCTGTCCAAGAATATCTTACAAGGGGAGGACGCATCGACCGGGAAACGGTTTGGAACGAAACTTACGGAGTTAATTGTACTTGACTACCAATAACTCATGGTAATAGCATACGACGCAATACTTCTTCGTTTTCGAGAAAAAACGGTCTAAAGAAAAGAGCCGACACAAGTGTATGAGTTAGTAAGAAGGGTATTCAACAAAGCAGCGTAGCGCAACAGCGAAGCTAACGGACTACCGAGCTGACGGCTAAGGTTCGATCCCTGTTGTATGGTTCTTTTTTTATTCTGTAAGTATAAAAATGGAATAGAAAACATTAATAAATAATAAAACTACGTTTCTTAAATATATTAGTGTTTGTTAAATATATTATTAATGATTTAAATTGCAAAAAAACCGTTAATCTTATCTATAAAATATATGGTGTATGAGAAAATTTTTATATAATAATTGCAATGGAAATAGGAATAATAATATTGTTATGAAATATATAGGAGTGCTTTTAACCTTTTGCGGTCGATGCCGCCATAGTGGCGGCATTCGCAAGTCGTCGTAGAAGTCGGTGCCGTCAGGCTGGCATTCATGATCGCCTGGCGCGCGGCACGGCAAACGAGACTAGCGATAATGAAAGAAAACTCCTCCCGATGCTAGATTCAAATGTTTAGATCAACTTACAGATCAACTATCAATGTTTATCGATCTCTTCGAAATCAGCCGACCGCAAAGGGTTAAACTAGTATGAGATAATTTTTCGTAATCTTATATCATATATATAAAATATTTGTTTCTGCAACAACTCTCTATGTTGTGTTCTTTCCTCTTTATCTCTTTATCTCTTCTGACAATCCCCCTCCAAAAACTTCCTTTGTGTCATTCTAAACGATCGTTAGGAATGACGATATGATTCGAGTGTCGGAACAGTCGTCAGTAGAGCAAGCAGCAGTGTGCATTTACTAGTGATACAGAGCAGTTCGGTGATCATATTTAAATTATATATATCATAACAATGTTAGGGAATCCTTCAATAAGCAAAATAGTTGATGTAGAATCGGTAAAAGAAAGATCTTTTGAAAATGAAGATTTTAAAGGTGAATTCACTAATGCTCTCGTATATGCAAATTCTATTTACGAGAGTAATGAATTATTATCAAAAAATCCTCCAGCGAAAATTAGTTCTGTGTCGATATGGCAAATAGCATTTCTGATGCTGTCATAGATATTTTAAACAACAGTTATGTGATGGTGGATGAAGATCTCATTCTAAATAATGATGGCGATCGTGAAAATCTATACGAAGAGGTATGTTTCTTCGATTTTAATGTTATTTTAATGTTAGAAGTGAAAGAAGCTATAAATTATATTTTACATCTTGATAGTGCACAGACAATCCAACGACAGATGCAGACTACAATCCATTAGATTATGCAGAGCCTCCTACAGACTACATTCCTTTAGAGTATAAAGCAAAAATTGTTGCTCTTGCTGAAGCACATCCACATTGGAATTTAAAGACACTGCAAAGACAAGGTGGAAGTCATTTAAAAAGAAAAGATTATTTAATCCAATGGAAGAAAGATGTGAAAAGTGGAGGAACGCGAGTAGATAAATGGCAAACAATTGACAATGAAACTTTTGAACATTTTCGAGAAGCAAGAAGCTGTTACGAGCAGGTAAAGCAAGAAAAATATATTAGAATTTCATACATACATATATAACGTAATACATTTGTGTATGTACTAATGCATGTAATAATAAATATTTGCAGGTAACAACAAGAACATTGCAACAATGGGCATTAATAGCAGCTTCTCCTTTTCAATCGGACACGTTTTCGTTCGATGCTAGTTCTACCTGGGTACAAGTTTTTAAACAGAAACATAGAATAAAACAGCGTCAGATAACAAAATATGTTAGCCGAAGAGAGATCGCTACTCTAGAAGAAACCACGGAAGCAGAACAAAGATTCCAGATACAAACGAGAAACATTATTTCTAATTTCAATTTGGATTTCGTAATTAATACTGACCAGACGGGGTGCAATTATCAAACAACGTACAATAAATCACTCCAGTTTAAAGGAGTAAAGACAGTGTTCTTGAAAAAGCAAAATTTAAATAAAATTACACATTTGTATACGGCACAATATAGCATGACTGCATCGGGGAAATTGCTTCCACTTGTGTATATATGCTTGCAAGAATCTACAAATAAATTTGGTCCTATAATATCCAAAACGGTTGATAAATTGACTGCAGAATTTGGTAATGTTGTTGTTACTTGTTCCAAATCAGGAAAATTAACTAAAGAATTATATAAAAACTATTTAGAAACAACGTTAAAATCGTATGTGAAAAATGACAAATTCCTTTTAATAATTGATTCATGGGGAGGACAAACTGATGCTGCTTTACATGATGAAATTTTTTGGAATGATGATGGAGATGCAACATGCACTCTGAAAATAATTCTTGCGAAATGCACCCCATTTTGTCAACCATGCAATGTCTATTTTTATCGACAAGTCAAACTTCTAATAAAACGATTGCAAAATGCTCCAATATTAATAAAAGAAGAAAGAGAAATAGCATCTCGTGAGGATGCTATTAAAATTCATTCTATAGTGCACCATCAGTTGAGCGCTCCTTCTTTTGAAAACATGATTAAATATGCTTGGTACGCTGCAAAATTATTGGAAGAAAGAAATTTTTTTTCAAATGTTAACGATATTTGCTTTCCACCAACAATTGCAAAGCAGAAGTGCCCCTGTACAGAGATTTCTTTTATAAAATGTGCTTGGTGCGCTATATGTTTTTGTTTTAAATGTTTTTATGATATATATCATCCAAACAAATGTTTTGGATATAAAGATGGTGACGATGCCGAATGAAGATGTAATGTAACATGTATACACATATTCTTTTATATTTCTATTTTTATATGTGTCTTTGTATGGCTTTATGTATCTTATATATATAAAAAACAATATGAATATATAATATGAATATAATACCGTTTAACTACTGCTCTTTCAACTGCACCTTTATATAATCATTATAACAACTTAATATATTTTTACTCCTATTTCCATTGCAATTGTATAAAAATTTTCTCATACACTATATATTTTATAGATAAAATTAACGGTTTTCTTGCAGTTTAAATCATTAATAATATATTTAACAAACACTAATATATTTAAGAAACGTAGTTTTATTATTTATTAATGTTTTCTATTCCATTTTTATGCTTACAGAATAAAAAAAAACCATACAGCAGGGATCGAACCTTAGCTGTCAGCTCGGTAGTCCATTAGCTTCGCTGCTGCGCTACGCTGCTTCGTTAAATACCCTTCTTACTAACTCATACACTTGTGTCGGCTCTTTTCTTTAGACCGTTTTTTCTCGAAAACGAAGAAGTATTGCGTCGTATGCTATTACCATGAGTTATTGGTAGTCAAGTACTATTAACTCCGTAAGTTTCGTTCCAAACCGTTTCCCGGTCGATGCGTCCTCCCCTTGTTAGAGCAACTTCGTGTCCAATTGCGACGTAATGTTTCTTATTGTTTTTGCAACTGCTTCTCCACCCACTTGTGACATCTTTTCAATCTGTAATAATTATTAATGGTATGATGTATATCTTTTATTGCAAATTCATTCCATTTATTGTCTCTGTGTTGATAATTTTAAGCAATTATATTTGTTCCGAATTGGAAAATCATATCGGCGGTTCTGCGTGCTCATTAAAATCGTCCAGAGGATTCTCGCGGAGCGTGTGCTGGACGCCGGTAACATCGAGTCACCGCTCGGGCAAATCACCCATGTTTACAAGCGAATTATTTGTTCGATCTTTGTCTTGCTGATTGGTATTGTCTCGGCGCGTTACACTGTATCATTGTGTCGGTGACAATAACACTCTTTCCATCAGAGGAAACTTGCGACAGTCTAATGTCTCGTGACTAACGGCAAAACAATGTATTTACCGTCAAGATTTTTGTGTCAGCCAAACAACGATTTGTACAAATCTGCCAATCGGCTTGAGCCGCATCAGAGATATAAAATTATAAATATCACGGTCGATATCGTGACGATAGAGTTCAGTAGAATTCAGCTTTCGAACTCAATTCTCTCGAGTTCCGCTCGGCTATCGTCGAATCTCTACAACGCGTCGCTCCGGCGCGTGATTACTCTCGCCGTCTCGTTATTGATACACGACTTCATTGTCCGCGATTTGCAAGCCGCTGTACCGGGTCAAAGCAAAATAAAACGCATCGGAATCGGAGACTCGAACAAGTTATTGCCCAGAGAACCGATCGGTCCTCTCCTCTGGCTGATTCCCGTCGGCTCCAGCCGCACTCGCTCTCGCGCCCAAGATCTGAGTGATCCCGGCGTTCAACGGGTTAACGATTCGGATTCAACCCGCAACAATATTAATAAATTTAATTAATATACTGTAAGAATATATATGTAAGAATTCGGACTTCCATTTCCGGAGCGAGTGAGAGAAAGTGTGAGAAAGGAGTGAAGAAGAGTGACCGTAAAAGGGAAAAGGGAGGGTGATAAAAGGAAGGGGGAGAGGGGAGAAGAGGGATAGGGAGGTGAGGCAGGTGGAGGAGTAAGGATGGGGTAGAGGGAGGGGCGGGAGAGAAAGGAGCGGTGGAAAAAGTGAGAGGCGAAAGAGAGGTTAGGTGGGATAGGAAGTCGTAGTATGCGTAAGATCGAAGAGTGAGAAAGAGTAAGAGAGGAAACTGTAAGGAGAAAACAGGAGTAAGGAACTAGGATAGAGGAAACTAGACGAGTGGGGGAAACAAGAGAGGAGAGTGTAGGGAATAACTAGGGGGAAGTTACAAAAGGGGAAGGAAGGAAAAGGGGAAAGGTGGAAAAAGAGGAGAGGTGGGCGGTCGAGGGAAGGAGGAGAGGAAGATGGCGGAAAGATTCGAGAAACTGAAGGTTAAAAAGGGTATGGGAGGAATGATGGACAGGGAGAGGAGGGGAAGTGAAGGAAGCTTATTGGAGGAAATAGCGAAGAGGAAAAGGTATAGAGGAAACAACAAAGGAGGACGAAAAGGGAGGGGAAGAGTAGGGAGAGGAAAATTTTGCATTTAAAAAGAGGAGAATAATGCAGAGATCGCCGTAGAAAGGGGAGGGAGGGAGTGGAGGGGAGGAAAAGCATTGGGGATATAGGATAATGGAGGAGTTGAAGAAGGAGATGAAAGAAGGACTGAAGGAAATGAAGGAAGCGCTGATGAAGGAGGTAAGAAAACAAGGAAAGGAAATGAGAAAGGAATTGGAGGAACTTAGAAAACAAATAGAAGAAAGGGAGAGGAAATGGAGGAGAGAGAGGGAGGGAATGAGGGAAAGAATAGAGAGATTGGAAGAGGAGAAAGAAGGGAAAGAGGAGAAAGAAGTGGGAGGAGACAGGGGAGGGAAATAACAAAGACATGAGGGAAAGAATGAGAGGAGTTGAGAGGATACTGGAAATGAGGGAAAGAGAGGAAAGAAGAAGGAATGTGATGATAGGGGGACTGAGGGGAGAGGAGATTAAGGCGAGGGGGAAGATGAGGGAGATGTTTAAGGAAATGGAAGTAGTAGCAGAAGTTGAGGAAATGAGAAGGATAAGAAGGGAGAAAGGGACAGAAGAGGGAAGAAGGATTATGAAAATAAGCAAAATGGAAGGGAAAAAAGAGATAATGGTAAGAAGAACAGAACTAAAGGAGAAGGGCATAAAGATTGATGATGACCTGACATAGAAAGAGAGGAAGATGAGATGGAGATTAGAGGAGATAGCGAGGGAGGAAAGGGGAAGAGGGAAAAACGTGTGGATAAAATAAGGGAAAATAAGGATAGATGGAAAGTGTTGGAAGGGAAAATAAGGTAGATGGAGGTGGAATGAGGAGGAAGATAAATTGAGGGACGAAGAGGATAGAATATGGGGAGAGAGGGGGAAGGGGGAATAAGGGGGAGAATGGGGAACAGAGAACAGAGGGAAAATGGATGGAAGATGATGCTTTGGAACGTAGCAGGAGTAACAAATAAGGATAAAGGATTTTGGGAAGGAATAAAAAAATGGGATGTATTAATGATGATGGAAACGTGGATGAAGAGGAAGGATTAAGGATAAGGGAGAAATTGCCTAAGGAATTTAGATGGAAAGTATAGCTAGCAACAAGGAAAAATAAAAAAGGAAGAGCAAAGGGGGGCATGTTAATGGGGATAAGGAAGGGAATAGAAGAGGAGGGGGAGGAGGAGGGGGAGGAACAGGAAGGAAGAATAAAATGTGACATTAGGATAGGAAAGAAGAAATGGAGAATAATAGGGGTATATGTGAACGGAGATATGGAAAGAAAGATGGAAGGGATAAGGAAATGGATGGAAGAAAGAAAAGAAGGCAGTAGAACGATTGTAGAAGGGGACTTCAATGTGAGAACAGGAGAGGAAGAAGGATGGAGGGAAGACGAGGACTGGAGAGAGGAAGGAGGAAAAAGAAAATCAAAGGACAAGAGGATAAGCAAAGAAGGAAAAAGAATGGTGCAGATAATAGAAGAAAGAGGATGGGCGATACTGAACGGGGAATGAAAGGGGATGGAAGGGGAGGAAGGAGAGTTCACATACACGGGGGGAAGGGGAGAGACGGTAATAGACTATATATTGGGAAATTTGGGATATATTGGGACTATATATTGGGAAAATATTAGGGAAGTAATAGAGGAAGTAGAAAGGATAGAAGTGGGAGAAGAAGTAGAATCGGACCATCATTCATTAGGGGTTTGGATAAAGAGAGAAAGGGAAGGGAGAGAGGAAGAAGAGAGAATGAGCAGGGGGAAATAGGACGAGGAAGGAAAAGAGGAGTTCAGGAGGGAACTAGGAAGGATACAGTGGGGGAGGGGGGTATAAGGGAGGAATTAGAAGCATGTAAATGATAGCATAAGGAGAGCGCTGAAGGGCAGAGAGGAAGGGAGGGCAGAGAGGAGAGTGGGTGGAAGGGGATGGTGGGACGAAGAATGTAGAAAAAAGAAGAAAGAAGTAAGAGGAATACTAAGAAGTTGGAGGAAAGGCAGGGGGGAACAGGGAAGGGTATAGAAAAAGAAGAAAGAATACGAGTTATGTGACAGAAAGAAAAGAGAAAGGAGGGAAAGAATGGAAAGAGAAGTAGAAGGAATAAGGACAGAAGGAGGAGGAGTATGGGAGATTATTAAAAAGGAAAGGAAGAGGGGAAAGAGAATAGAGGAGGGGATCGAGATGGAAGAGTGGAAGGAGCATTTTATGGGAATACTGGGAGGGGTAGAGAAGAAGGTGAGGATAGGAGAAGGGGGAAGAAGGAAGGAGGATAGGGAGCAGGAGATAAGAAGAGAGGAAGTAAAAGGGATTATAGAGAAGATGAAAGACGGAAAAGCGATGGGAAGGGACACGATACCAAGCGAAGTTTGGAGATATGGAGGAGTGGAGGTGGAAAAATGGGCGTGGGAAATATGTAGGAGGGTTTGGAGGGGGGAGGGATGGCCGGAAAATTGGAAAGAGTGGGTAATAGTACCGGTAGTGAAGAAAGGAAGAGGGGAGAAGGTGTCGGACTACAGGGGGGTAACGATAATGATGTCACTATACAAGGTATACGTGGCGATAGTGGCGGAAAAGCTTAGGGAGGAATTGGAAGAGAGAAATATACTGTCGGGAAGTCAGACGGGATTCAGAAAGGGGATGGGGCAGTGGACCAGGTGTACATAATAAACTACCTGATAAATAGACAACTAGGAAGTAAAGGTGGCAAGATGACGGCGATCTTTGTGGACCTTAAGGCGGCATTTGATTCGGTAGACAGAGTGAAGTTGATAAAGGTGTTGTGGGAGAGAGGAGTGAGGGAGGGATTAGTAGTAAGGGTAGAGGAAATGATGAG